AAGACAGACCCTGGTTCAGGCCAAACCCTGTCTTGTTTTAAAAACTCAACTTTAGGCTGCTTTTACTTCTGCTTATCATTAACTTTGAAAGAAGCAGCTCATAGCCATTGTTTTTGGACGTATTTGCAGAGGAGCTTGAGAAATGGTATAGTTTAAACTAGATAAAAGGAAGGCTGTAATAGCGAGAATTGCAGTAATGATTGTTTACGGAATGTCCCAGGAAAAGGGTCTTGCAAATGTTTGCAAATTGAAGAGCTCATATTAAAAAATAGATTTTAAGTCCTTTACTCAAGAGGTCAGTTAGTCACTATGGCTGTGTGAGGGCACTCTAAAACTAAGGTGCTTGGCCTGATTAAAGATGACTCTTCTAGGTCTAAATCAAAACTCCATTGTTGAATTAAACTTGTCTAGAGTCTTCCTTTCTACCTTCCTAAAAATAAAGCCTGTCATTTAGAACTGTAACTTCTTGTGAAACTTTACCCACCCTCAGCAAACAATAGTGGGGACAAGAATATGGTTTGTGAAGAACTGTTTATCCATAAAGGTTTGTCAAGATGGTCTCAGAAGAATGCTTGCACAGCAGGCCCCGGGAAGAATGTATACATAACTTACTAAGTTGGCTCCAAGAAGTCTATGTTAGAAAATAAACAGCTAACCCTGTAAAATTTCAACTTGCTATCATAACCATGTATCTTAGTCATCTAGTGCTGCTATAACAGAAATACCGCAAGTGGATGGCTTTAACAAAGAGAAGTTTATTCTCTCACAGTCCAGTAGGCTACAAGTACAAATTTAGGGCATCAGTTCCAAAGGAACACTTTTTCTCTGTCAGCTCTGGAGGAAGGTCCGCGTTGTCAATCTTCCCTTGGTCTGGGAGCTTCTCTGCACAGGAACCTCACATCCAAAGGATGCACTCTGTTCCCGGTGCTGGTTTCTTGGTGATATGAGGTTCCCATGTGTCTCTGCTTGCTTCTCTCTTTTATATCTCAAAAGAGATTGGCTTAAGACGCTATCCAATCTTGTATACCTCATCAGTATAACTGCCACTAATCCATCTTATTACATCATAGTGATAGGGTTTATAACACATAAGGAAATCACATCAGATTACAATCATACAATCATACAATACTGGGAATCATAACCCATCCAAGTTGACAGATATTTTTGGGGGACATAATTCAGTCCGACACCATGTGTAAGGAAAGTAAAAAGGGTAAACTAGAACATTAAACATTAGTAATACTCTTATAAAAACCTTATAGTAATTCTTTTAGTTTACTCAATCTGATGTGGTTAGTTTTGGTTCCATGCAATTCTCTATCAACAAGTTTTAAAACTGTGTTAGTTTCTACATAAAAGCCCTGGAAATCTTGATTTAGTCCAATAGTATCCATATTTGAAATAATTTTCTTCATAAATCTGGTATAGTTCTTTTTTTTAACTGAAATATTTCTAGTCAAGCATTTTTAGTGAATTAGGAAAGTAGAATTTATCTGCAAATGACAGACTTACAGATGGCTGTGATTAACTATACTAATAATTGTTAAAAGTGAAGGATTTGATGGGAATTACAAGGGTAAGGTAAGCCAAATAAAGTTAATAAAAAAAAACTTGAGATAATATAATCATTAACCTTATTTTTAAAGAGCTTCAGATACAACATATAATAATCTCGAGACACAATATTAAATAATCAAAATATACTAAGAATATACTAAGATTATTAAGTCTCTAAACTTTTGAACAGTAATAAAAAATAAAAAAAAAACTCCGTGAGTAAATGATGTGAATTCCTCAGTTAAATCGTTGGCTTTGATGATTCTGGATTCAAAGGAAATAGAATTGTGATCAAGTTAGCAATTTGTTTTATGTAATTTATTACATTAAATAAACCTTTTTTAGCATTTTTCTTCTTTATAAAATAGAAACAGCGCTTCAGCTATTTAATAAAATATCTTAAAGGTAAAAACTGTAGCTTTTTCTAAAGTCGTGCAGTTTGGCTTTTGATTTAGGAATTTATTTTGTTGGACCTTTGTCTTCGAGGTAGGTTGCATAAATGATAAAATCAGTTCTTCAATCTAGTAATCAAAAAAAATTTGTTATTTTAATAGCAAGAAATTAAATTCTTTGCTTTATATGCTATTTGACATTAAAGTTTTTTAATTCTCATAAATTAACTCATTAAATCTTTAGCTGAAGCAAATAAGAACTTTGACTATATTAAATAAATTTCCCTTTAATAACCTTTTTAATTTCTCATTTTTGTTATATATTTCTTATAGTGCAACTCTATAAGTAGCAAAAATGAATACATTCATTACAAGACATAAATATTTTTTTCCTGTGGTATAAAGAGTAAGAGCTTATAAATTTTAATTGTAATAAATATTCATTAACTTAATTTAATATCAATAAATTACCTCAAAAACTTGAAATTTAATTTAAGCCTATATATTACAAAACATAATTACTACTGAACTAAGGTTTGTTTATATAGTCTATTTCTATTTAAATCTTTATTATTTATTTTACTTCTAATTCTTATTATTATTCTGGAAAGCAGTTTAGCTTTTCTTATTATTATTCTGGAATTAATAAAAATCACTCTTATTTTATGAATAAACATTTCATGTAATATTTAAGTTATGTTGGAAGATTTTGTTTTAAGATTGACATAAGCATGAAAACCTTTTTCAGAATGAATTCATTTCATTAATTCCTGGGAATATTAGGACTATTTAATTTATATAAGCACTTGCTTATTATTAAACTAATTAGAGCAGGTTCTTTGAAGAAATATAATTTAATTTAATAATAACATCTGGATTTGGAGGTAGGAAATTACTACATTTTTATAACCTTGTCTTGACATGCTTTATAGGATCCTTTAAAGAAGCAATTTAGAATAATTTGTCTCTTTTTAAGACCTTGTTATATCTGTTAAAATAAACAATCCATCCTTTTTTTCAGTACACTTTCCAAATAGACTACTTTATATTAAAATTTCTCAGTGTAGTTATCAAAAGTCCATATTATAAAATAGAAGCAAAAAGCAATTTTTCCTGGAAGAAGAAAAAAACTAAGACTTAAAAGACCCTTTTAGGAGAGAAAAACAAAAACAACTAGTGACTACCAGTCATGGTTTTCTGAGATAAAGCAGAAACTTAAACATAAATTGAAACAGAAGAACCACATATATTGTTAAGTAGTCAAGGAAAACTTCAGACATATGCTACAAACTACAAAAACCGGAACATTGGGGGGTTATTATTTTCTCTAATATCTTTTTATGAGAAATCTTGAAAATAAATACTAGTTTCTGATTTTTCTTAATCCTTTGGTGATTCAATTATTTTCTGCTTTGAATTTTTTGTTGATACTTTGTGTTTTCATTAATGGAAGCATGCTGAATCATTGAGTGTGTCTGAATTTTTGGTAGGTGGTATTTTTTTTTCCTTGTTTCCTCCCACAAGCCTACACATAGTGTCCCTTGGTACATATGATGTACCATTAATGCCACTCCAGAGTCCCCACCGGGGTCTACTGGTACATATGTGTAAAAAAAATTTTAAGATCTCTATTTTTCCTACCAAAAATTCAGACACCTCATACAATACCCTGTAAAAACAATAATTTGTGGCACATGTCCTTTTCTTTGGTTTGAAACAGTCATAAAGGCCTCTGCCTTGTAGCAGCATGCACTATCAGTGGTACATCAGCTTCCCAATAAGCTCCAGAGACTGAAAAAGTTCATTGTTGCTGTATGCACCACCAGGCACGGAAGGGTTCTATACAAATATCTAGAATACATTTAAAAGTTTTAATTCAAGAAGAGCTACAATTTCCCTTTTCTTCAAAACAGCTAAGTTTCAACCGTACAGAAATAAAACTGGCAAAACAAGACCAGAAACTTGAAAAAGATAAATAGAAAAACCACATAAACTTGTCAGTCTGTAAGGCTAGGTCAAAACCTAGGTTTATATTCAGCATCACATAAGACTAACCTATGGGGAACCCAGTTTCTTAAAATTTATATGGCAATTCTTTAGTAAAACCAACTTAATTTGACAGGAGAAAAACGTCCTAGATAAACTTACTAATTTGTCAGGGTCTCAGATGGAAGAATATTAGACCCTTTGACAAAACCTGAGCATTAAACAAAAATTCTCCAGAGGAAAGGAAAGACAATACAAGAGTGGAAACTTATTTTCTTAAAGTGATCATTGAGAGTCTAAATTACTTAAGATATATTCAGCTTATAGTATTTGAATGTGAACCCCAAATCAGCATCCTGGTGGGGGGGGAAATCCAAGTTGATTTATCAAAGATGTTTATGCCAGCTAGAGACCTAGTCTCTCATATTAATATACTAGTATCTGTTTAATGCAAGAACTTTTGCGTTCCAATTTACTGCACAGAAAGATTAATTTACTTAGTTCAAATGATCCTCATAAAGGTCATTGTTTTCTCTAAATTTCTGGTAGTGAGCACATGCCAACGATCCAGATACAAGACTGAAGCAGGGCCATAACACATAGGAATCCCTGCCACAGGAGTCCCTGAAGGAGGGCCAGTCTCACACCCAGGAGTCTTCAAAGTTGGTCTTGCCTCAGTCTCTGATGTGACATTCCCCATCTTCTCACTGAGTACTGCTTGCAAGCTGACCCCCAATAATATGCAGGTGTCCCTGCCAAAGGGCTGCTTCCGCCAGCCTGGAGGAAAAAGAGAGTTTAACTGACAGGTTCACCACTAGAGGTCAGCCTCACCTAATTTATAATGAACTCATCAAGCTGCTCAGAAAAGATGAGTGGAAAAAGAAAGTAGGGAGAAAAGATAATCTCTCAAGAGAACTCTACACAATGAAAATGGAGTTCAATCCAAGAAGGTTTACCTACGACGACCCTGGGGAGTGTGTGAAGACAGATGGGTGCAGAGGGTCCATGCTGGAACTGAAGCTCCGAGTTCCCAACTCCTCAGTGTTGCCACTGGCAAGTCACCTTTGGATCATGCCGACTATGCCAAAGAAATATCCAAGAGTAAAAATCAGACTGTGAAAATTTCAAAATAAAGAAGAGATTTATTGAGGAGGTGGGGCCAAGATGGTGGAGTAGTCAGACGGCTTACTATACCCCTCTTACAACAAAGACCTGGAAAAACAAGTGATTTGATTGTATATGAATATCTAGGAGCCCTGAACAAGGCAAAGTTGAGGAATCGTACTGAGCGGCGGGGGGAGAGGGAGACGGTTTAGAAGAAGCAAGGAGTGCCAGACCAGACTTGGTGGGAGCTGCAGCTCTTCAGCCAAGACCGGCTCAGGGTGCGCAGTGTGGTGGGCATATAGCAGTTTCCACATCGAGAGAGATCCGGCAGCAGAGATTCTTCTTGGACACTCTGAACCAGTGAAAAGCAGCACCCAAGTGGCTAAAGTTAAGTACATGTGTGTGGCCTTTCGTGGGGATTTAAAAAAAAAAAAAAACCATTTGGGAAATAACTCTCTCCCGTTTACCTCCTCCCTCCCACTCTGCACGAGGTCCAGCCAGCTCCAGCAGTCTCTGAGTCCCCTGGGCCAAAAGTAGATCCCATAAGGCACCCTGACCCATTCTCCTGGCCTTGGAGAGGAAATTAACAAACAGGGAAAAAATAAGATACTGGTGCCCCTAATCCAGGAACTCAGGGTTGGAAGAGCTCCTTTTCCTAAAGGAGCCTGAAGACTTTGTCTTCCACCTCTGTATAGACTTGTGTGGACCCATCTCAACAGCGTAAGTCCTCACTACCACAGTACAAAAGGGTAAACACCTGAAGTCTAACTTCAACTGTTTCAAGCTGTGAGGTGGCAGATTTGTGATGCTTGACGGTGCTCTGCCTTTTAAGCAGGCACCTTATCGGTCTGCATCAGGGGCTTGAGGACTGGTGGCTCCACCCATGCCACCTAGCCACCTGCTACAGGAGTCCAAGAATAAGTGCTGCCCCCAAGTCTTTACAGCCAACAGAGTAGGGTGCTCATAGTCCAGCTGCAAAAGTCACCTACCTTCTTGCTTTAGGAAACAGGGACATGATTTCCTTTCAGACACTCGGGCAGCCATCTGCCCCTGCCTTGATCGGTGTGTGACCCCCTACTGCAACCAGATACCTGTGCCTACACCAATCACCCATGCCTCTCTAAGACTGTAGGTGAGAGCATGCACCACACACTGGGTGACTGACAGCCTGGACCCCTGAGCTAAATACATACAGGAAAATTTAATGGACTGCTGGCTGCACATAGTTACAGAACTAACTACCTGGTGACAGGATGTTAGAGCTTCAAAGACACCAATAATCAAACTAGCACACACGAGCACCCTATTTGGGCATATAAAAACAAAACAAGAAGCTAGGACACACTAAACAAATATAAAATTTTAATAACTTATTGATGGCTCAGAGACAACAGTCAATATCAAATCACATAAAGAGGCAGTCCATGATGGCTTCAGCAAGCTCTCAAAATAAAGAATCAATAAATTCTCTGGAGGAGGAGAATTTCCTGGAATTACCAGAGGCAGAATACAAAAGATTAACATACACAGAACTCTTCAAGAAATTAGAAAGGAAATTCGTCAAAATGTAGAAAAGCCAAAGAACATACAGACAAAGTAGTAGCAGAACTTAAAAAAGTTATTCAAGAGCATAATGACAAATTTAACAGGCTGCAAGAATCCATAGAGAGACAAGAATCAGAAATCCAGAAAATTAACAATAAAATTTCAGAATTAGACAACTCAATAGAAAGTCATAAGAGCAGAATTGAGGCAGTAGAAGTCAGAATTAGTGACATTGAAGATAAAGCACGTGACACCAACTTATTTGAGGAAAAATCAGATAAAGGAATTAAAAAGAATTAAGAAACGCTAAGAGTTATGTGGGACTCTATCAAAAGAAATAACC